CTCCTAGACCCCACCCTAGGCTAAGTCCACAGCCCTTCCCACACACAAAAAACCCCTTGGCCCAAGACCAGAGCATGCACCCCAACACCCCTATCCCAGCCTGGTGAAAGTGAGTGAAGATGGGTGAGGATGGGGAATGGAATGAGAAAAGTAAGGCTTTAGAGAAGGGGTGAAACAGAGGCAGGACTTCAAAGAAGGGGCAGGAAGGAAATGGGGCAAGAGTATTTGGGTTTGAAGTAGATCTTACAGTGGTGTACTTATATTGAAAAAAGTAATCTTGTTGTTGAAAAGGTTGGAGACCACTGATATACATCACACAGAATTCTCCTCTCATTAATACCTAACAATGAATCAATGATCAACATTATTAGGCCAGTGTTGGGCAAAATTTAAAATTTCTAACCTAATTAAAGGATGTTAAAAACATCAGAAACGAAAGCAACGTTCCATTCCATTGCACTCTCTTCCTCTCTACATTCTATTTCCTTTCTTCTCCCCAAAGTGTAATTTCTATCTGTGAAAGACAGGACAGTAATTCACAAAACATTCATTTCAATGTGCTGCCTGTGGTTTGAGTACTGCATTCTAAGTATGCTATCAGAAACATCTTCACCAAAACTTAGCTTTTCAACATGAACAAACCTGTTCTCTAGCATCAATGACTTCTTAGCTAAATCTAGCTAGTAGAGACGTCTACAAAATAAGAGGAAGAGCATAACTTATAAATACAAGAAGGGGTAAGAGGAAAAAATGTAAAGTTTGTTTTATTAGCTGTCCAAATACCATACTTAGCTTTTTTAAGGAGTTAAATTTTTAGTGTTTCCTTAATAAACACTATATCGGGATAAAAGCTTCAGAGGGATAGTCACATTAGACTAACTGGAAAAACTAAAAAAACAACCAATACTCTAGCAGCATCTTAAAGTAACAAAAAGCGTAGATGGTACCATGAGCTTTCCTGGTCAAAACCCACGAAAATGGGTTGTGCCATGAAAGCTCATGATACCATCTACATGTTTTGTTACTCTCTAAGATGCTGCTAGACTATTCGTTGTTTAAGTTATATCAGGATAAGTTTGATAACCTGCTTCCTTTCCCTTAACTCCTCTGATCAAAGTTACACCCTAATGCCAGGTTCCCCTTTTGGCAGTATTTGTTCCTCAAACAGCTTCACAGCAACCACTTACGCATTTCCAACCAATTTTCACACTTTACATTTTAACTTTGCAGTACAATACAAATTTCAGCGTCAATATTGTTAACCATTTTAATTCTCTCAATTGAGTTATCTAGCTAATGTGCGTATCCCATAAAACAGAACTTCCTTTCATGTGGTCCCCATGCTAAAAGCTCCAGATGTCCCTCTCCAAAGTTACTTCATTTGCATTATGTTAGAGCCAAAGAGCTCCATCAGTATCATGGCCCCAAAGTGTTAAGTGCACCTTTGCCATGTACAGCATCATCTGACCTGATACTTTTAGCTCAACCAGAAGCACTTTGTCTCACACTGGCCGCCCAAATTGTGGGCATTTACCAAACTGAATTTAGTCTACAAAATTTTTAATTGACATTTACAATAACTTAATTTTTTTCTCTCCTCATGCTAAGAATTCTTTCCCAGACAATAAGAAGAGATACTAAGATATTTGGTACGAAAGTAGTTCCATATTTCCCCTGACATGTTATATTGATGCACTGTTTATTTGGTCTTTCAAAAGAACACAGTCATTTTTTTTTAATAAACATGCCACAGCTTGTGCTTGTGTCACTAAATCTTGCCATTTAAAAAAAATTATTTTATGTGCCTTTTATCTAATTTATTCTGTTAATTAAGCTTTATTAATACTTCATGTACCTATTTTGGTACAGAACCAACCACTAGATTCTGTATAATTATCTGTGCAGTTGCTTTAAACAGAAATGATACTAGAATTAAGGCAACATTTACAAAATCCTGTAAGTCAAGAATTCTCATGCCAACTACCATGTTACACTTCCTGCTTCACAGCACACACAACATTGGTTTTAGGGATGTAAGTGAGTAGTCAACTAATTGACTATCTGATAAGCAAATGAACATAAATGCTTATCAGACAGTCAACTCAACTAGCCCCTTCCCACCCTGCTGCTGCTGCTGCTGCTATCAAAGAGAGGCAGCAAGAGGGGGGTGAGCAGGAGCTGGTGCCAGGAGGAACTGAGAAAGCTGGTTTCCCTAGCACCATCTCTGCAGGGGGCAAGGAAGGCACAACAGGAAATGGTACAAGTGGCGACTGCTTTGCTCTGGTTCCCACTGCAGGTGCTTCTGCTTTTGAAATGTACAAGAGCCCTGCGGGTTCTTGTATATTTCAAAAGTAGACTTCCCGCAAGGAGCATGGGCGAGCAGGGACTCAAGCAATCCCCGTTCTCTCCATGCTCTCTGCAGTGCCTCTCACCTTGCTGCCTTTATGAGAGGCAGCAAAGAGGGGGCGGGGAGAGGGAGACAGGAGCCAGCTTAAAAGCTGGTTCCTCCCAGCACTGTGTCCGGGGTGCCACTTGCCCCCCGTGCTGCCTCTAGCAGAGGCAGAAAGGGGGTAGGGAACGCTAGTGCAAAGCAGCCCCTCTCTGCAGGGGCTGTTGCCGCCAAGCAACCCCTGTTCAGGGCAGGCAAAGCTGGCCACAGGCAGGGGCTGCTGGATTCAGCATTACCCAGGATCAAGCAGTCCCAGCTCACACTGATCCCTGAGCCTCTACATTTTAAACATATCAAGAGTCCAGCAGCTCTTATTACATTTAAAATGCCACAGCATGGGTGGCTCTGGAGCCAGCACAAGCCAGGACTGCTCAGTACAGGCTAAAGTCGGCACCGTAGAGGCGCTGATCAACTAAACATGTATCAACTGTACGATTAGCCAGATAATCACATTTTAACATTCTTAATTAGTTTACATTCAACAAAACAGAAGATACTATATTTCAAAGCAAGTTAGGTTGCAAACGACGCTGATGCTATTGATGTTCAGCATCAATAGTTCCTAGGCAGTACACCTCAAGCACTGCAGGTAGGTGGCAAGTGAAGTCTAAATTTTCAGATATTAAATGCTCTGTTTATTTTCACAAACACTAGTGAGGTACTTTACTACAAATTAAATGGCACATAGATAATCCATACTCACTGGACAGAAAGCAATTTAAAGTAACTTGAATACTAAGGTAATATGCACAACATAAGAAACTTGGACAGAATTGCAAAGCAAAACAAAGATGGTCTCAGTGACGGGTGCAGCGGCTCTGCACTTTAAACCCCCCGGGGCCAGCCATGGACAGAGCGCAGCGGAACACGGAGGGAGCGTGTGTGGCGTGTTCACAGGCCGTGAAACAGCTGGGAGGGAAGGTGCCTGGGCGTGATGGGATGCCACGGCGCCGGGTTTTAAAAGAAGCTGGAGTCTGTTTCGGAGGGAGAGGAGGAACAGTGACAGGGAGTAGGCACAACTGGGGTGCACTGCCAGGGGACCCCCGAACCACACCGGATGAGACCCAGAAGGGCAACAGGAGGGAGATGGAGGACCGATGGTGGTGGGCAGACAGCTGAGTGCTGACAAAATTCGGAACTAGGTCAAGGGAGAGGAAGCAGCCCAGGGTAGGGCATTCATGGAAGCCCATGTGCTGGTGTGTTACGGCAGTAAGCCCCGCTAGTCGGACCGGACCAGACCAAAGCAAGTTTGCATCCTTAGGGCCCTAGGCTGGGGTCCCTGAGTGAGGGCGGGCCCGGACCCCCCTCTCCCCGCGGTGGCGTGAATAGTCCTGGGCACATTTGGGCCAGACCGGTCCACGAAGCGCAATTGGACAAAAAAGACTAATACGGAAAGGACTTATCGTGGGTCGGACTCTTGTACCTGCTGGGTGAGTGTGTGTTGGGGTGTAGAAAAAGGCACAGGGTGACTAACCTTGGTGCACACTGGTACAGTCTCACAGTGCTGCTTTATGCCCTTGTTCTATTCAATAGAGTGGTCAGCCAGCACAAAAACTCCAGCTTATACACCATGTGGCAGTTTGTCTGAGATAGAGCCAGCCAGAGAGCACACATCACACCAGTTGTCCATATTCTCCTTTCGCTTTCTTGACCAATTCAAATGCCAGTACAGGCTGAACCTCTCTCGTCTGGCACTCTTGGGACCTCACTGGCGATGAACCAGAGAATTTGCTGGATCACGGGAGGTCAGCATTGTCTAGCAGAATTGTCTAGCAGCATTACCACTGTTTACTGGACTCTTAGGAGACATTTAGGGGTAAATTAAAGCTAAACAGCACAGAACACAGAGCCAAGACTGGTGGCTATACAGGACAATGGGAAACTAGAGATGTTACAGTGTATTGAAAACATATAACCATGATATGAGGGCCAAGTGGCTCCATTACAGCTGATGCACGCAGGAAGTCTGCTTAAAAACCAGCTCCTGTGAAGCCGCCTGCCCCCTGCTAGCACCAGTTTCCATATGCCCTTCCCCATGCTACTGCTTCTGATACAGAGGATGTCAAGCTATGATTTTTGCTAGTAAAGGAAACTGAAGAGGCTGTTGGTACTGCATATTGATTTCTTCAGGACTCAGAAACTTCTCTAGTCTAGCACTCTGGTTCGGCAATATCCATGGTCTTAGTTAGCCAGATGTCTGCTTATTGTGGGTATGTCCAAGTTTTCTGTGGTCCTGTTTAGTTTGTTCACAGCTGCCAGTCCTGGCTTTCAATGTTCTGTGCTGTTATTTAGTGCTAATTTACCTCTAAATGTCTTCTAAGAGCTCAGCGAGTAGGTAATGGTAATGCTGCTAAGCCTAAGCATGTTTTTAATGCTGATTTCCTTCTGACAATACAGTAAAATTGTGTAATACTAACACTTTGTTATGAAGAGAGCTGAAGCCTTGGCAAGGTGTAGGCTTATAAAGGGTGTAACAGTACAGTCATACATAATTAAGCAGCATTGCAAGCACTGTTAAAATAAAAAGAGAATTACTCGCTACAATATTGACCTTGCTTGGTTCAGCAAATTCTCTGGTTCAGCACCTGTCAGGTCCCAAGAGTGCCAGATTAGAGAGGTTCAACCTGTAGTGCCTTCTTCCAGGGAGGATGGTCAGTTGTTCTATCTAAAGAAGGCACTGATTTCACTTTGAATATTGGACAAAATATTCTTCAATTTTCTTTTCTGACAATCAATAACATCACACAAACATTTTTTCCTTCATGTACATTTGTAATCACTATCAGGTAGCCTCTCATGCCTAAGTGTTGTTGGTGCTGATTTTAGGGATGTTGAAATGCCATTTATTCATGTACATGTTTAACCACTGAAATTTTCAGCAGTTACATGTTTACATGCAGGAATGAATCTACCAGATGGCTCTGCAAGAGTAAATCTCTGGAAGAATAAATTCAGGGCAAATTGCACCAAGGATTTCTGTAACATTGCTCCATTTTGCACTACACTGAAGGTTGGGGTAAGCAATAATTTTTGAAGGGGGGCCACATTGGGAATTGCTGAAGTGGTTGCAGGCCACCCCAGAAGGGTCCTGAGGCAGAAGGAGTGGAGCCAGGCTCTGCTGCCCACCGACCCCAACTGGTCTGGGGGTGGGGGAGCATGCGAAGTCTTAGGCCTCACCCCACCTCTGCCCTGCCATGAGTGCACAGCCCTAGAGAGAACCACCAGCTGTTTTGAACAGCTGGCAGCTCCTTCTGGCATGGGGAGGAGACTTTGCACACTCTCCTCAGCCCCAGGTCTCCATTAGCCTGAGGGGAGGAGAGAGGCAGGGGCTGCCCTGGACCAGGAGCCCTTTCAATTGCTGTTATTTAAAGGGCTACCACATTGCCAGGTAACTGCCTGGCAGGCACAAGCCCTTTAAACAGAAGTGAAAGGGCTCACACCTCTTAAGCAATGCATTAGCAGGAGAGCTGGGAGCTCTTTCAACTGCTTTTATTTAAGGGCTTGCACCTTAGCAGCTGTGGGGAAGCCCTTTAAATAGAAGGGCTCAAATCTTCCAACCCTGCCACTAACAGTGTTGCCTGGGAGCCATCAGGGAGGCATGAGCCCTCTCAGCTCCTACTATTTAAGGGGCTCACCCCTTCCCCGCAGGTGCTCATGTGTTTGCCGTCAGCCACCAGGAGGGTGCAAGCCCTCTAAATAGCAGAGGCTCCCAGGCAACACATTAGGGGGCCAGATTAAAGTGCTAGGTGGGCCGGATCTGGCTCGCAAAAAGCCTCTTGCCCAGCTCTGCTGAAGGTAATGTTTTCATAAAAAAGTGATACCTTTATTCAAGTCTTAGCTCCCTCCTCAGCAAAAATCAGTAGTTGAAAGCAACTGAGTGCCTGAACAAAGCCAAGGATAAAGAACAGTTGAAATATCTGAAACAAGTATTTAACTGATCATTATGGCTATGCTTTGATAATCACATTCAAAAATGTATCACCATGGAAAATCAGTTGGTAAAAACTGATAACACACTTATAGGCCACTACATTTGGTATGAACTTCCTCTTCTAACTTAAAGCAAGAGAAGGGTTTACTTATGCCAAGTCAAGCAGCCCCCTGCCCGCAGCTGCAGTGCAAGAGGAGAGGATAGAAAACAGGCCCCAAGTGGCTAGGAGGGGTAGCCTGAGCCAAGGGACAGGAGAGAGAGAAATGTCCTGTGGCCCCAATCCCCTGCACCAACCCACCACCCTCACATCCCCAAGGCTCTGCACTGAAGGTCTCAGGCAACACTGGGTATGTCTGCTAGTTGATTTTATAAAGAAGTCACATTCACTGAAAACTTCTTTATATCTTATTTATACAATGCAAAAGATCAATGAAAAGAAATTTTAACAAAACAAGTCTTTAACAGGGAAATTAATTCCTGACATTAAAATAAAAGTCTATTGTGCCGAGCTGAAAAATCTTGCACAACTAGACAGGCTTACTTCTAAATACTCTGTCAAAACAAATCAGTTTAAAACCTCTCATCATAATTCTTCTGTTTTACTAAATATGGCATCTATTGTAGAGGCCAAATAAAAAGCCAGATCAAGTAGATGACCAAAAATTTATTTCATAGCATTTCTTGTTTTATCAACTGCCAAAAGGCAAATGTCTGAATTCAGATCACAACACTGCAATCCTGGCATAATCTCCAAAGGGAGCTTCTTAAAAAACACTCATAAAGACAAGACTTGATTCTTATTATTTTAGTTTGAATAATCCCATTCAATAAACTCACCACTTAGAAGTCTAGCAATATGACCATCACATGGGTTTCAGCTGAGATGACAAACTGATATAACAAAATACAGTAGAACCTCAGAGATGTGAAATGCCTTGAGAGTGGAGGATGCTTGTAATAAACTCTAGTAATTATGAACAAAACATTTTGGTTGTTCTTCCAAAAAGTTTGCAAACTAAACACTGAAACTTTAAAAGTAGTATTTTCTTCTGCACAGTAATCATCCTAATTTAAATTTAACAAGCACAAAAACAGTTTTCTTACTTGGTCAAATCTTTTTTAAAAATCAAGAATTCCATTTAAGTTAAGTAGTTTACATTTAATAAGTTTGATTTATTTGTCGCTGCTGCTGCCTGATTGCATACTTCTATTTCTAAATGAGCTGTATGGTTGACTGGTCAGCTTGTAAACTCTAGTGTTCTTGACTCTGAGGTTCTATGGTAGATAGTGGCTTACACAGAACCTTGAACTATGGCCACATCTTCAAATAGTGTATATATGATTTAAACAGAATTATCCCAATTTGAAAAAACCGAAGATGTGGTCCTGTATCTTATTTTCTTTGTGTAGCCTCTGGTAGATGCTATGAAGGCAGAAGTCTCCCATAAAATGCCATCAAGCAAATGGTCTGGTAGCACTTTATAGACTAACAAAACATGTAGATAGTATCATGAACTTTCGTGGGCACAGAAGTGGGCTGTGCCCACAAAAGCTCATGATACCATCTACATGTTTTGTTAGTCTATAAAGTGCTACCAGACCATTTGCTTGCTGTTTTTTTTCCTGTAACAGACTAACTCAGCTACCCCCTGAAGCTCCCTAAAATGCCATTTTTTTCCTGTAACAGACTAACTCAGCTACCCCCGGAAGCTCCCTAAAATGCCATAACACACACACAAGTTCTTGCCCCTAAACCAAAAAGATTTGTTTGTAAACTAAAAGTGTGGCTCGTGTGTACAAATACAGCAACTTCAACTGGAGGTGTTCATATTTAAGAGCATCTAATTCTTTGATTTTGGGGAATTATTTGCCTCAGTATCATGCAACACAAGCTCTGCAAGTGATCTTCCTTTGATAAGCTATAAATTAGTTTCTGTTTAAATCAGCAACCTTCTTAGGCTGGTCTACATAACAATATTAAGTTGGCTTAAATACACTGTTTAGAACTGTGAAAAAGTTTACAGGCTATGTAAATGTAGTTAAACTGAGCTCCACCAGATCAATGAAAGCGGCGAGGAGTCCTGTGGTACCTTATAGACTAACTGAAGTGGTAGACACTTATAGACACTTCAGTTAGTCTATAAGGTGCCACAGGACTCCTCACCACTTTTGCAGATTCAGACTAACAGGGCTACCCCTCTGATACAAATCAATGAAAGAACTCTTCTATGACATCTTAGAGGTGATGGCAACAGAAGAATGTTTCCACCACTGTAGCAACTACACAAAGTTTCTAGGTTAGTCAGAGCCATAGGCTGCACTAGAATCACAAAGAAACAGAGAAAGATAGGACAGGAAAGTACTGAAACAAAGATGGGCAGGAAGATTCAGGAGGCCATCTATTAGCTGAAAAGACTGGATTTCAAGTTGGCAGTATGTAAAAGTAAATAATAGCTCTATGTCAGCTTGCGGGAGATGTCAGCCAGAAAATTTACCACATTCTCACAAATCAGAAATACCAAGAATAGGAGAACAAACATAGAAAGGGATTTTAAGGATAGAATATAAATACTTAACCAAAAGAGGGCTCACATACAAAATTGCCACTTCCTTCAACTGGAACACAGCAAATAGAAACTCACATTAACTGAGTGTGACTCAGAGCAGCAGAACAAGTGCAGAAACCTTCAGTACAACTTCTTCGCCAGTACAATAGTTTAGATCTGAAACCTAATTCACTCAGCACCAACAATTGACAACATCATGGCCCACTTGACTAAAGAGCAAAACTCACTGCAATTCAAGTTAAGCGGGGATTTTTTACACCAAACATGTTAACCTAATTTTAATACGTGGTAATTCATTCACAATGAAGTGAAACTACTACTATAAAGGACGCTGTTAAGACACGCCCTACTTCCAAAGAGTTTCGTTTCACATACATCCTCCCCAGTGATCAAGGCTACTACCTTGGACATCGGAAACAAATTAAATTCAAATGATTTCTAGTTAGCGCCTTTGCGTCCCTCCCGAGGTCACCTTTTAAGAGTAACAAAGAAAAAGATGCCCCGACTGAAAACTTGCTGTTTTCACGAAGAGAAAGCAGAAGAGGCTACTGTGCCGGCTCTTTAGTCCCCCAAGGCCGCAGACAGTGCAATCGCCAGGCACACCTGGGAGCCTCCGCGCACAGCCCCGCATTAGGGAATGTCTCTCCCCCCCACGCACACACGCTCAGCGCCCGGCCAGTGCGGCGCCCCGGTACGGGAGATGGGG